TAAGTTTGGGTACAGACATGCCCCGTCTGTACCCCCACCACAAGACAAGACATCTCGACCGAATTACCGAATTACAGATAAATTTATGGCGCCTACGTGATTTATTGGTTTAGTTATGCTGCAGTTAATATGAAAATTTGAATTAAAATAAAACTAGGTCCGTTTCAATTGTACAGTAACGCCTGTACCCAATTTTAATACACGTTCATATCTTATATTTTACTCACGCTTGCTTGAAAGTTTTGAGCAATGAATGCATGCTCAAGTTTTCACTTTTTCAAAATTATTTTGTACTAATCTATAACATCACTCCAACCCAACACAAAAGCTATGTACTATATTATTGTATGAATGGAGTTGAAGTTTATTGAAAACTATACCTTTAATAAAAAATATACCCGTAACCACAACTGATAAAAACGTTTACTACATTCTGTGATAGGGTGTATTTTTAAAGAAACTTGGTTGTTTTATTTATTTGTTATCTTCTCTAAATACACCACTACTGTTTTTATAAACACCTAATTACATTACACTGGCCTTATACTATTAACTAATTATTGCTCTCTCTTAGTCTCTTTAACTCAACTAATCTTTATTCTGTTTCATCACCAGTTATTGTTTTCTGATAACTTCACAGGTTTAGTTATAGATATAAGATGTAGATAGATATAGTTATAAATATTTCAACAGTTATGAACTGAGAACAACTGAACTGGCTTCCCACTGAACTAAGTAACTATAGTATTATTACGTAACTAATTGAAATGAAATAAACCTAATATTATACATCCGACTGTTCTGCTCCGATTCGTAATGAAGACTGGTAACACTATACCGTATACAATGAGGCAATGTTTATTTTGACATTTTGATTTTTTTATTAGTGACAGGGTAATTTTAATTTACTTTTGACGTGGTTGATTGAATGTGGGGTATATTTTTGTCGATGTGTAAACAACGTTACTTTATTTCATTGAGTGATATCAGTATTCTGATCTATCTTTTGATTGGTTAATAAGTCTGATTCTGTACACCGACTGGTTGAAAGAATGATCACCTTTAACAAACAGTGGTCTTCTCTGAACTATCATTTCATTGGTCAATATCCCTAATACTGCCCATCTATTGGCTAACAAGTATATCACGCGTTGCTATCTACTTGAGTTGTATACCTAAGATAAGTAACACAGTTTGGATTCGTTCGTTTATGTCTGTCATAGTTATATTTAATCTGCCACAAACAATAAAATCAAAAAGAAGATATCGTGTTTGTTTGTTACCCCCAATCTGATAATTGATTCTTTATTTTTCTATTAGTGGAAATAGCTGATATTTAAGATTAATCTCTCTTATTTCAACTCCGACTACTATAACACACAAAAAGCTCAAACACGAACATGAATTTTTCGAAAATGTGTAAAGGTATTTGCAAAGCGTTTCAAGCCAGTTTCCCTCTTTGCACACTGCAGAGGGTCAGTCTCTAAACGACAATTAACAGAAAATTCGTTAACGCTTTCCGTTACATACTAGCTTGCGAAGCGTTTATTTCAAACTACTCGAAAAACCCAGGCAAGTTACTGCAATTATAAACAAAACCCAATAAAACTAGGTATTGTAAATGACTCGTAAGCAAAATATTGAAATTTGAACTCACTTCCGAAGGTAAACATGGACTTCTTCTGGAACTAGTGAAATCTAGAGATATCACAATAATTGATGTTAGAATTATACCTCGTGATGAAGACATTCTCTCAATTTGACATTTCTCATAAATTTTAGGGATATATAGAAGTTTAAAAGACGCTACGAGTGTCACGTGATATATCATAACGGCCCTAATATAATAATCTTGTCCTTATACGACCCACCCGGAAGGTGGAGATATTTGATCAGTAAGGAAGTCTATAGCCAATCATCGACATAGCGTCACCCACATAAAAAAAAACATTCAACAATCGAAACTGGCGTAAATCGTTCAACGTATATTTTCTCGAATATTCAACGAAATATTTTACATTCAAATGAAATAAATGCATGGAGTTTTACTTCCTTCTCTTCTGCACCTGATTGGGCTAATGAAGACGGGCGGCGTCATGCAGTGTGCAATGAGAGAAATTTTACCAGGACAGCGGATTTCACATTGGAAAGAAAGTTTTGATTGGGCTAATGAAGATCTGTTTCCAAAAAGGTGTAAATATTCTGAGCCGTGTGGAAAAAAGGGCACCGAGTTGACAAACCCATCCGCATAGTGACATCGGATATTAAATATAGCAAGCATAACCCATAATATTGTATAGGCCCAGCAATAATTTACTATTTCGTGAAAATTTCATTAGCTACTACCGATGTTTTGTCATTATGTTGTTTTGGATTTCGGGTTTAGTTTTGGGGTTCGATCGTAAGTGCTTGGTTTATTTCTTACTATAGTCTTAACTAACGAAATATTTTCACTTCAGTTAGTACTTGGTTTATTCATTTAACACTTATATCACTATCTATTTATGTGAACTCTCTGAAAAGGATGAGTTGACAAACACAGTCACAACGGGATTAGGTGATCCGGAATAATGAGCATTAGCCTACCCTAAATCAATTCGCATCAGTTGCTCAACTAGATAAATGAAGTGCCTGTGGGTTTCAAACAACAAACAAATGCTCTGCTGCATTTTCCCCGGCGGCGGCGGCCCCTTTAGTGGTGGGGACCCATGGACTTGGTTGAACAATTCTCTATTTTAATTGAGCCACTGTTAGTCATGTAATCAAAATCATTCAGTTTAGAGACCGTCTATTTGATACAATGACGTCAATGAATAACGACGTCATTGGTTAAAATTACTACGCCTAATGTTTTGGTGATGAGACAATGGCCTTTTAGGGAGATATAAACGCCACACGAATTTATATTAGTCCAATGGAAAAAGTAATAGCTAATGTAAATATTGAGTTATATAAGGATATCCTCAATGGCAAAACCCCAAATAATAATAACCGCTAGTTGACAATCATAGTATCACACAAACACAGTATCACACACAATATTTAGATATGGATTCAAAATGATAATAAAATATAATCTTTAAATGACATTTAGAAATAAATAAATAAATAAGATCACTATTATAGATATAGTTCGATAGTAACCACGATTGATTATGTATATAAATCTATGAAAGAAAATATGCATAAGTGTATAGGGTGTCCACACCAGACAGGGGGTCGTCATCACCCAGAATTCCGTCCGTCCACAAGCAGAAACGAAGCCACAGACAAAGACAGCTGGGCTGGTCAGTTAGAGGCTTTCAATAAATAATTTGAACAAAGACGAATTTTGAGACTTGGGGGAAGAAAACAGATGTTGTTCTTGGCAATAGACGTAATGTTTAAATACTAATTTGGGGAGCTGACAGTGATTTGATTAAGGTACATCTACTGTCTGATAGACCTAGTTAAAATATTACTCTATATAATATACTCCAAAACAGAGAACTATATCTACTGTCTACTAGATCTAGTTAAAATATTACTCTATATAATATACTCCAAAACAGAGAACTCTATATACTGTCTGATAGACATAGTTAAAATATTACTCTATATAATATACTCCAAAACAGAGAACTATATCTACTGTCTACTAGACCTAGTTAAAATATTACTCTATATAATATACTCCAAAACAGAGAACTCCATCTACTGTCTAATAGACCTAGTTAAAATATTACTCTATATAATATACTCCAAAACAGAGAACTCTATATACTGTCTGATAGACATAGTTAAAATATTACTCTATATAATATACTCCAAAACAGAGAACTCTATCTACTGTCTGATAGATCTAGTTAAAATATTACTCTATATAATATACTCCAAAACAGAGAACTCTATCTACTGTCTGATAGATCTAGTTAAAATATTACTCTATATAATATACTCCAAAACAGAGAACTCTATCTACTGTCTAATAGACATAGTTAAAATATTACTCTATATAATATACTCCAAAACAGAGAACTCTATCTACTGTCTGATAGATCTAGTTAAAATATTACTCTATATAATATACTCCAAAACAGAGAACTCTATCTACTGCCTGATAGACCTAGTTAAAATATTACTCTAAATAATATACTCCAAAACAGAGAACTCTATCTACTGTCTGATAGACCTAGTTAAAATATTACTCTATATAATATACTCCAAAACAGAGAACTCTATCTACTATTTAATAGACCTAGTTAAAATATTACTCTATATAACTCTATATACTGTCTACTAGAGAGGTTTTTAATGTTTTTCTCTGTATTATATACTCTAAAACAGAGAACTCTATATACTGTCTACTAGAGAGGTTTTTAATGTTTTTCTCTGTATTATATACTCTAAAACAGATAACTCTATATACTGTCTTCTAGAGAGGTTTTTAATGTTTTTCTCTGTATTATATACTCTAAAACAGATAACTCTATATACTGTCTACTAGAGAGGTTTTTAATGTTTTTCTCTGTATTATATACTCTAAAACAGATAACTCTATATACTGCCTACTAGAGAGGTTTTTAATGTTTTCTCTGTATTATATACTCTAAAACAGATAACTCTATATACTGTCTACTAGAGAGGTTTTTAATGTTTTTCTCTGTATTATATACTCTAAAACAGATAACTCTATATACTGCCTACTAGAGAGGTTTTTAATGTTTTCTCTGTATTATATACTCTAAAACAGATAACTCTATATACTGTCTACTAGAGAGGTTTTTAATGTTTTTCTCTGTATTATATACTCTAAAACAGATAACTCTATATACTGTCTACTAGAGAGGTTTTTAATGTTTTTCTCTGTATTATATACTCTAAAACAGATAACTCTATATACTGTCTACTAGAGAGGTTTTTAATGTTTTTCTCTGTATTATATACTCTAAAACAGAGAACTCTATATACTGTCTACTAGAGAGGTTTTTAATGTTTTTCTCTGTATTATATACTCTAAAACAGAGAACTCTATCTACTGTCTACTAGAGAGGTTTTTAATGTTTTTCTCTGTATTTTATACTCTAAAACAGAGAACTCTATATACTGTCTACTAGAGAGGTTTTTAATGTTTTTCTCTGTATTATATACTCTAAAACAGAGAACTCTATATACTGTCTGATAGACCTAGTTAAAATATTACTCTATATAATATACTTCACAACAGAGAACTCTATCTACTGTCTAATAGACATAGTTAAAATATTACTCTATATAATATACTCCAAAACAGAGAACTCTATCTACTGTCTAATAGACATAGTTAAAATATTACTCTATATAATATACTCCAAAACAGAGAACTCTATCTACTGTCTACTAGATCTAGTTAAAATATTACTATATATAATATACTTCAAAACAGAGAACTCTATCTACTGTCTAATAGGCCTAGTTAAAATATTACTCTATATAATATACTCCAAAACAGAGAACTCTATCTACTGTCTAATAGATCTAGTTAAAATATTACTCTATATAATATACTCCAAAACAGAGAACTCTATGTACTGTCTAATAGATCTAGTTAAAATATTACTCTATATAAGATACTCCAAAACAGAGAACTCTATCTACTGTCTACTAGACCTAGTTAAAATATTACTCTATATAATATACTCCAAAACAGAGAACTCTATCTACTGTCTACTAGACCTAGTTAAAATATTACTCTATATAATATACTCCAAAACAGAGAACTCTATCTACTGTCTGATAGACCTAGTTAAAATATTACTCTATATAATATACTCCAAAACAGAGAACTCTATCTACTATTTAATAGTACTCTATATAACTCTATATACTGTCTACTAGAGAGGTTTTTAATGTTTTTCTCTGTATTATATACTCTAAAACAGATAACTCTATATACTGTCTACTAGAGAGGTTTTTAACGTTTTTCTCTGTATTTTATACTCTAAAACAGATAACTCTATATACTGTCTACTAGAGAGGTTTTTAATGTTTTTCTCTGTATTATATACTCTAAAACAGATAACTCTATATACTGCCTACTAGAGAGGTTTTTAATGTTTTCTCTGTATTTTATACTCTAAAACAGATAACTCTATATACTGTCTACTAGAGAGGTTTTTAATGTTTTTCTCTGTATTATATACTCTAAAACAGAGAACTCTATATACTGCCTACTAGAGAGGTTTTTAATGTTTTTCTCTGTATTTTATACTCTAAAACAGATAACTCTATATACTGTCTACTAGAGAGGTTTTTAATGTTTTTCTCTGTATTTTATACTCTAAAACAGAGAACTCTATATACTGTCTACTAGAGAGGTTTTTAATGTTTTTCTCTGTATTTTATGATCTTTGATCGATTGCATTCCACCTATAAATTCTTACTATTACGTCATTATCTTATAGTTTTTATCTGATATCGTTTTCTTGTGAGAAAATATAGCAAGACTGAATAGAGCAAAGTAAATTATGATTGTTGATTGTCCAAAAACTTGACTACACAGCGCCTCATTATCTCCCCCACCCCAATATTTTAAAATTGTTTGCCTTGTTTAAAAACCCCTTATGTAATTGGCATAGATATATTAATGTTATATAATTATATCTGTGATTGTAAGATAATATTTATTTGAAGTGGTGAGTGAAGTCAACGGTCAACTATAAACAACTTGATAGCAGGAAGCTGGCTGGATACAATGATAAATAGTCATTATGTCGTTTCTTTGTTTATTATTCTAATTGATATCAATTATACTATTCTTCTCATTAGTTTAACTTGTTGTATTTCCTTAATTCATATCAATGCGTTTCTGAATTCTGAATTGACTATCTTGGATACAACGAAGGAAATGCCTGGGAAATTTTCGCTTATTCGTGTTCGATTATAATTCGTTACTAATTCTGAATTTTGTTCGGTTCATTTGGTTAACTGATAACTTCTCACTTTGGAAATTTCAATTCTGTCAAGTCTAAATTTCTGGTGTAAATAATTTACATGAGATCCTAAGGAAAGATAGCTGTGTTTGAAATTTAATTTGGTACTTGGTTATCGTAATTAGTTTCCAAGATGCCGAGGAAGTGTATTTACTCCGGTAAGTGAATTCGAGTTACTTTTTGGCGGAACTGGCAAACCTGGCATGGAGCGTGAGAGGTACGGCCCCAAGAACATTTGTGAAAAAAAGATTTGATTAGGTGTATTCTGGTCCAAACCGCAAAACGAAACCCGAAATGCCAACGGTTTAATCAGATAGCTTGTACAGATATATAGAGACATATTGTTTATATTTACAGATGGGAAGGGGAATACTGTAATTATGCCGGCAAGAAAAACCTACTTTAAACAGCCGACCACAATAACACAGAGTAAGTTATGGAAGATAAAGTCAACCAAAATTAAAAATCCTTAAAGAAATTGTAAAGAGGTTTTCTAACTTTTTTATGCACATCGGGGACATCGACAGCATCAATTTGCACCATTCCAGACGTCTGTTTTTCCTGTAATGACACTAGAAATTAAGTGTTTGATCACTAATCTCAAAATATGCTTTATCACATGAGGCATTTCGTGATAAGTGACGCCATTAAACTTAAAAACATATGGAAATATAAGTATATAATATTTGTATTTACATTTACCACATTGGTTTCGTGAATGGTGGTCGACACTTTTTTCTACATGACGATTCGTAATTCAAAACTGTCAGTGAGCAATGTTCGTCTGTTAGTCTGTCAAATGGATTCAGCTTTATGGAAACTGCCAAGAATTGCCGAATGTTGGACTATTCAATTCTAGGTGTTCATTTATTTATTCAATTATTTATTCTGATGTTCTGATGCCTTCTAAGATAACTATTTTAACCATTTATTTCAGAAACAACACCTTCAATATTGAGAGACCCTCCCCCTGCTACACCAAACGAGATCAAAACCGTCGAACTGACAACTATTGGGATAGCAGGGGCGGCTATTATAGTCTTTTCTCTTTTAGCCTTACTATTAGCAGCCATGCTGAACAGGAGACGCAAATCTATACGGTGAGTATTTCTTTATATCAACAACCAATTTACAGTCGTCGTACAGGTAATTTAATATCGCATCTTAGGAGGTGTGAAAAATTCTCTCGAAACGGCCTAATTAACTCTCCTCCGGTCGATAACTGTCAAAACATATATTAGAGGCTGAAATAGAGGCAGAGTTTCGGACTAATGTATCATGTTCACAATCTGTTACGAACTTCATCTTATACCTTGACCTACAATAGTTTCCACCTTTCTTGCATTTCTTGAAGACTGTCAACATTATGTCTTATCGTTAAACACTTTCTCTCGAGCAATCTGATTGGCTCTATTCACTAGCGAACAAACCAACCAAATCACTGCATTTACAAACTTCCGTTATACATGAAAGGGGGCTACTGCAGTCAAGGTATTAGTCTGACATTATAAAGATGCTCTCGTTTGGAGTTACTTGATATCCATTCAATCAATTGTTCTGTTCAATATGAATGTTGGGAATTCTGTGATGTTCTTTGTTATATATACGTGTGTGTTGAGCAGCTATGGCGGATGCGGTGCCAGGAAAGGTATGCTTTCGCCGACAACTGATATTCAGTTCTAGATGTTACGTGAAGTATTTCCGTCTGTTGTTGACTCTATATGACATCCTAAATCTGGCTTAATTTCATGCATCACATGTTCAAATATCAAAAATATTCAACCAACCAGCTCCTTACAGTATGTTGCAAAATATTTTTTGCTTACAATAGTTTTGATTAATTCCCAAAAGTGATGACAGTTTTTGACCACGCCGAACGGTTCAATTTAGTCCACGAGCCTCACCATTAAACGGAGCTCCACCCCAGAATAAAGGGGAGAGCATATTATGTTTACAAAAAAATTCCCTAAGAGGGGCCCCTACTTACTGAAGTCAACGGACCCACTCATATTGTTGAGTCACCGCAAGTCTCTCTTGTAATTTCAGTCAGCCAGTGGCAATAGTTGATAATAATATTGATCATGTTTATGATGAAATAGGGAAACAGGTAAGGTACACGTTCTCAGGGGTCATCCTCTCCCTCCTTGCACCCACAGCTCACCTGTCTCCGCCCTGTACACAATACCACTATAACACTAATAACTTCATCCCAGTATTTGGTTTTTGGGTTTCGTTTTGCGTTTCGTTTTCCCTAGCCTGGGGGTGTGGGACTAGGGTGTCAGGGGTGTGGTACTAGGGTGTCAGGGGTGTGGCACTAGGGTGTCAGGGGTGTGGGACTAGGGTGTCAGGGGTGTGGGACTAGGGTGTCAGGGGTGTGGGACTAGGGTGTCAGGGGTGTGGGACTAGGGCGTCAGGGGTGTGGGACTAGGGTGTCAGGGGTGTGGGACTAGGGTGTCAGGGGTGTGGGACTAGGGCGTCAGGGGTGTGGGACTAGGGTGTCAGGGGTGTGGGACTAGGGTGTCAGGGGTGTGGCCAACTGGTGTAGGAGAAGAATTTATTTTGAGTTGAGAGAACACCTCACATCATCACATGCTGAAAATGGAGATAAAACAAATTTTTAGGGGCGTGAAAGGTCCAGGTGATTGATCCAGGGGTGTGAAGGCTGTAATAGGTTGGGAACCATTGAACTACATCATCATGCCATAAATAATCTCTTCTTGTCAAACATTCTTGGAAAGAAAGTATCTACGTCAGATGGGAAATTAATATGATGAAAATTAGAGAAGATTATACACTTCATTGTGATATCATTTTCACTGATAACAATATATTTCAGGGACATCTCAGGAGTTGTTTCCCTTTAATGACAAAGAAGAAAGGTGAAAAACCAAGATCATCACAAAAACGCCCTGCGTTACATCCCCGTCGAACGGCGGAGACAAACATATACGATTCTATTGAAGGGTATGGTCAGTGCAGGACACCACACACAGAGATAATCCAGACTCCTGACAGTTTTCATTCAACGGTTGAGCTGAAAAATATCGTTGAACAAAATAAGGCACCAAATCCTTATTTTGAGCTCGAAAAGGAAGAAGTAATTGACTCACAAGGCCACGAATATAGCGCAAACGCTTATTTCGAATTGGAAAATGAAAATATTCCTGGAGTAGATTGCAGGGAAAAAACTCATCCTGGTTATTTCCAATTGGAAAAGGATATCTCAATTGACTCAGATGTCCCGAACCCTTATTTTGAATTGGAAAACGAACTAGGAGAGACGCACATTCCTAGTCGCCGACGCTGCTCCTGTGGTAACCGTCCAAATATACCTGATCAGTATACACGTGCAGATCTATATCGACCAAATTCTGTACCGCGAATGCATCATACAGTATTTAGTCATAACAGAAAAACGATTGATCCCGGTTCATTTCCTAACAATATCGACGTCAGCTGGAATCAAGATACAGACTGTCCCACGAAACATCACGAATTGACTTCTGTTGAGTCAAAATTTACAAACATTTCTGAAACACCTGATAAAAATCATTATTGTATTCTGGAAAGAGAGGCAGACGACAATTTCCATAATGACAACCAGGTACACACAATTAACAAAGATGTCAAGAACGTATCAACATAATTTCCGGTTTTCAACAAGGGAGAATACTCTCATTTACACACACATCCACAGTGGGACAGCACCAAACCTTTCAGCAGATTGGCCAGTGTAGATCAATTAGAACGGCTGTACGGTGAAAGGGGAATAACTGTCGTCATACTTCCCCCAACAACGGATATTGGTTCTACGGAGCCTGCGCGTTATGATACAATTCATTTTTCTCCAATTACCAAACCCAGGTCGAGACTCAATTCTGCCCCGCACTGAATGGATTCAGAGGTAATGACCTACCGATATGACTTCATAACTCACGTCCCGTAGTTCGCGCATTAGATCTAACTTCCTATGTAGGCCTAGGTTTTTAATTTAAGTGACAGTCTGTAATTAAAGATTTAAATATATTTATTAAAATAATACGGATGTCTTCTGTTATTGAATGTGTTTGGCAACATTAATAGCACTGCTATATACATTCAGTAGTCCGTGTTTCTTATATTTAAAACAAAACCTGATTAGTGGTTTTCTCACATTACATGAACGACGAAATACAGAGACATAGAAAGAAACCCTCTTAAATTGAGTAAGTCAGTAAGCGGTGTCGTTTAAAGAAATACTACCCCTAGAATGACGATAAAATTGAAATTAAGATTTTCAAACATGGCCAATAAGAGTCTATACTCATAAACTATTCATTGTAACTATACAACAGAATCCCTTTATAATCCGATAAATCCATAAAACTAAATAATTTTTCCTAATGCAACGCTATAATCTAAAATCGCATTTTTCAAAGATGTTGCTTTTTTATTGTTGGATTAATCGGATTACACAGGGACTCTGTTGTATATTTATGACACAGGTAAGTCAACTGATGAATATATACTCTTATTGACTCAGTTTGAGACGTTAAATTTTATGAGCATTCTAAGAGGTAATACCCCGGTTCCCAACCTGGGTTGTTTTCACCCCCTGTGGATGAAACAAAGTTTTGGGATGTGAAAAGTCGGTTTTTTAATGAATTCAATGATAATTGTCACACCTCTTTTATTACATCAAACTTGTGTTTAATTCATTGGTGACACCAGCCAAAATCAATTAGTAAGAGTTATTGCCCCTGTTCTTAAAACGCTCGTAAACACTCTGCAAGGCACAATTCTTGATTGATTTCGACGAAACTTGGTATGGTTGTTTGTAATCACCCAAGGTTGAACTCTATTGAAAATCAATTAGTAAGAGTTATTGCCCTTGTTCTTAAAACGCTCGTAAACACTCTGCAAGGCACAATTCTTGATTGATTTCGACGAAACTTGGTATGGTTGTTTGTAATCACCCAAGGTTGAACTCTATTGAAAATCAATTAGTAAGAGTTATTGCACTTGTTCTTAAAACGCTCGTGAACACACTACAAGGCACAATTCTTGGCGGATTTTGATGAAACTTGGTGTGAGTGTTTATAGGATGAACCTTATTTAAAATCAGAGAGATCAAAAAATGATTAGTATGAGTCATTTCCCTTGTTCTTGAAAACGCGTTCAATTTTAGCTTGTAAACACTCCAGACTGCACAATTCTCGACGGATTTTGGCGAAACTTGGTGTTGAGTGTTTGTAATCACCCAAGGACAAACCCTATCGAAAATCAATAAAATGAAAAATATTAAGTATGAGTTATTGCCCTTGTTCTTAAAAGTTCAATTATGTTCAATTTATAGCTCGTTAAAACTCCAGAAGGCACAAACTTGGTGTGAGTGTCAGTAATCACCATGGATAAACACTATTGAAAATCAGAATAATCAAAAAATAATTAGTATGAGTTATTGCCCTTGTTCTTGAAAAACGCGTTCAACTTGCTCGTAAAAGCCCTAGAAGGTTCAATTATTGAAAGATTTTGACAAAACTTGGCGTGAGTGTTTGTTGTCACCTAAAGATGAAGCCTATTGAAAATCAAAAAAATCGAAAAATAATTGGTTATTGCCCTTGTTCTTGAAAATGCGTTCAATTTGTAGCAAATATAAATCAGAAAAATCGAAAAATATTATTGCCCTTGTTCTTGAAAACTCTTTCAATTTTCAACCTGTAAACACTCTTGAGAATATGTTATCATTATTATTATTATTAACATTATCATCATTATTATCATTATTATTGTTATCATTATTATTATTATTATCATGATTATTATCATTATTATTATTGTTATTATTATCATCATTATCATCATCATTATCATGATTTTTATCATGATTATCATTATCATCATCATTATCATCATTATTATTGTTATCATTATTATTATTGTTATCATTATTATTATTGTTATCATTATTTTCATTATTATCATTATTTTCATTATTATTCTTGTTATAATTATTATTATTGTTATAATTATTATTATCATTATTATTATCATTATTATTATTGTTATCATTATTGTTATCATTATTATCATTACCATTATTATTATTGTTATCATTATTATTATCATTATTATTATTGTTATCACTATTATTATTGTTATCATTATCATTATTATCATTATTATTATTATTATCATTATTATTATTGTTATCATTATTATTATTGTAATCATTATTATTATTGTAATCATTATTATTATTGTAATCATTATTATCATCATTATTATTATTGTTATAATTATTATTATAATTATTATTATTGTTATAATTATTATTATTGTTATCATTGTTATTATTATTGTCATCATTGTTATTATTATTGTTGTCATTATTATTATTGTTGTCATTATTATTGTTATCATTATTATTATTGTTATCATTATAATTATTGTTGTCATTATTATTATTGTTATCATTATTATTATTATTGTTATCATTATTATTATCATTATTATCATTGGTATCATTATTATGATATCATTATTATTATTGTTATCATTATTATTATTATCATTATTATTATTATTATCATTATTATTATTATTATCATTATTATTATTGTTATCATTATTATTATTGTTATCATTATTATTATTATGAATATTATTATTATTAATATGTTTAAAATATATTTAATATTATTGAAATAGAAATAATAGAAAAAGAGATTTTGTTGTTTCTATGGAATCACTCCTCTGGTAGATATTTGAACTGAACTGAAATCTAAACAATCAATATCACCCTCCTCGCTCTTTAAATATTTTTTTAGATTTTTAAGATTACTGAAATTTTTAAGCCATCATTTCTCTTAATTAATTGATGAAATTCCTTTCTTTCCAATTCTTTCTATGTCTGTTACACCTTTAAATGAATTAAATTCTCTGTATATATTAGTTTGTTGAAAATCAGAACCATTGCATCTTTCATAAATAGTCGAGTTGAGAAAATAGTTCAACCAAAAGTTATAATTGTTCGTACGGTTATCAGATATGTGTGAATCTGGCACTAATCTGTTGAAAGAATAGAATTGTTTGTGAGACTTCTCCACTACATCCTGTGGCGTTTGCTTGTATTCACAAGAGGACATAATATGTGGTAAAAATCCGTACAAGCAAGACAATTCCGTCAATCAAAAATCTCGTCAAAATCAGGAGTAAAAGTAGTATAGTTGTGGACTCCTCCGAAGAGAAGTACCATCGAAAAAAAATAAGCATGGTCTGCTTTAAGTAAAATTAAACATAGGTGAAAACACAGTTATTTTACTATTCAGGTATAACGTGTTCTGTCTTTACGGCATCTTCAGTACTATAACACTAATAATCATATAAATTTATATCAAAATCAATGCATTCAGTAAAGAACACACAAAATATATAGCTGAAGAGATCTTCAGGCTTTTATTGACGTAACGTGATAATAATAGAATAACTTAACGTCGTCATTTAAACACAAACAAGGGGGACGTAACCCCGACAGTCTTTGTATAAATAGACTACAAATATATAACAAATCATTAACTTATCAATTTCTAGAATTGAGTTTCGGGTTATATTTAGAAATAAAATAGTTTTCTTTTATTTCTAGCATCACTTCATTGTTGGAATGAGCTTTATAAATAGGGAAGACGTTGAATTTACCTCCACCGCATCTGTCTAGGTGTTCACTCAGTGGTAATGATGCGCAATTATTTGCCCTTAAAAGGACTCCCCCCCCTCCCATTCCGTACATTGGTAATCCGCCATTTTGTCTTCCTCCATCGACTTTAGTGGTAATATATGTTTTTTTTGTATATTATCGCTTTATAGACCAAAATAATGAGTATGTTTTTGTTTTATATGGATATATTTGAATAAATAAAGTGATGCAAGTGAAGTTTTTGTATTATTTGAATAGAAAATAATCTATAATGATGAAAGAATTTGCACACCGAATTACCCGGTATTCGTTAACAAGAATAATGATCACGGTACAAGTATTTTGTATGGCTTTTATAGCCAGAATAATTGAATGTCATGCTTGGAGGTAAGTTACAAGTAGAAGCAGACAAGGGTAAGGCATGCGTTGTCATCGATAAGGCTGAATTCCATACACTCGTCCAGCATAACTTATCCGACAAGACCACCTACGTTCCCCTCACCAAAGACCCCACTGCTAAACTTCTCCGTCAAATGAAAGCACTGGTCAAACATCTGCACGAGAACTTTGAAATCAACCACGCCATCTTCAACCATATTAACATAACTAACCCCACTATTCCGTATGCCTGTGCTACTGTCAAAGTCCACAAAAACCCCATCAAGATACGTCTGCTTGTATGCTCCAGGAACACAGTGTATTACAATATTGCTCAGCATCTGTCTACCATATTAGCTCCATTAGGAAAATTAGCCACCTCCTTCATCAAAGATTCTGCTGATTTTCGTGCCAAAATTAAACAATTGGATACCATCAGATGTTTATAAAGGTGTAATTACAAGTTTCTAAAGATGTAATTACATGTTGTAAAGATGTAATTACAAGTTTGTAAAGATGTAATTACATGTTGTAAAGTTGTAATTACATGTTGTAAAGGTGTAATTACTAGTTTGTAAAGGTGTAATTACTAGTTTCTAAAGATGTAATTACATGTTGTAAAGGTGTAATTACAAGTTTGTAAAGGTGTAATTACAAGTTTATAAAGGTGTAATTACAAGTTTATAAAGGTGTAATTACAAGTTTATAAAGGTGTAATTACAAGTTTATAAAGGTGTAATTACAAGTTTATAAAGGTGTAATTACAAGTTTATAAAGATGTAATTACAAGTTTGTAAAGTTGTAATAACAAGTTTATAAAGGTGTAATAACAAGTTTATAAAGGTGTAATTACAAGTTTATAAAGGTGTAATTACAAGTTTATAAAGATGTAATTACAAGTTATAAAGGTATAATTACTAGTTTGTAAAGTTGTAATTACCCCCCTATCACTATACACTCTCTGCCACAATACTATCTTACTACACTATCCGTCGCTATACTCCCTATTACTAAACTCCATGTCACTACACTCGCTGGCACTACACTCTCTGCCACTACACTTTCTGTTACTACACATTCTGCCACTGCATCTACACTCTGTCACTACTCTCCGTGTCTCTACAGTCTCTGCCACAACACTATCTAACTACACTCTCACTACACTCTCTGTCACTGCACAATCTCTCACTACACACTCTGTTACATGTACTACAATCTCTGTCACTTGACTCTGTCACTTTGAATTTTTTGTGTTTTTCATAATATTTTTGGAAAATTTAATTTTCATGTTTTAACTATTTTTACGATTTTGATTAATTATTGTTTTTATGAATTTTTGTGATTTTTATGTATTTTGTGTCATCTTTCTAATTAAAGTTTCTCTATTTCCCTCCATTCCTTCTATTTTTTGTCGGTTTCTCGAATTTTCACAATTTCAATTCCTGTTTTCTGCAGTTCTTCTGCTCTCAAACCACTGAGAAACGTCGAAAAATAAAAAAAATTGCAAATGTCCCCAATGGGCCACGGTATATTTACATCTTATATTAAAAAAAAACCCAAAGAAACCATAAAAAACAGGCTGAAAACTTTAGATGGAAGAAGAAAATGAATTGTCTGTAAAGGGGTATAATAAATTAATGACGGAGCCAACAGTCTTAATGGATCTGT